CTATTCCGTTCAGATCTTAACGCTCTCAAAACGCCGGATTTCGCAATCCTTTTAAGCTTTATATTACAGATCCTAGCTCACACTAAATAAACATTGGCAACTCTACTACCCAACATGTGAGCATTTTTGTTAAGATTTGTACAGCATATTAACAATTTGTTTTGGTTGCAATTAGTGTATTATACAGTGAGTAATCTTGCCTCTATTAAGGCTTGATAATGGTTTCAATAGAACTACCTTCATGAATTTCGAAAGAAGATTCAGAACATTTCGCATGATTTCTTTTGCCTCCCCAAATCCTCAAGCTCTAATAAGCAAAACAAAGATTTGGGTGACTTGCTGAACATCACCTTTACGTATTCCAGTATGGATCTCATTTTATTTGTGTTTGATACATGTATAAAGAGAGGTAACTTCTTCTACAGAAAAATAAGTTATGGTCATAACGCTTTCAACTCACGATTTTAACATGCTACCAAGGGATGTACTGCATTTCCTCATTTATCTTACGCAAACTACAAAGGTCACTCAGAAACGACGCGGGATTGCACGACATGATATTTACATTTATTTTGATATTCTTTATCAGGCATAACGCAAATATAATCTCTATATATTTTTGATAGTTATGTTTTTCATCAACTACTAGCAGCCAATGAACCACAGACTTGTTGTCAGTTGAGGCGGGATGGAAATATGGAAATAAGGCGGCAATCAAGAGAAGCCTTTCTCTCTCTCTCTCTCTCTCTCTCTCTCTCTCGAGGGGTTGAAAGAATGAGGGGGCTCAAACACCCTTACACACACACTTTGCTTGCAATCAACTAGAATGACTATAAATCACAAAGTACGTCTTCAAGATGAATTTGAGTAGTGGTCATGTAATTCCATTCCACTGCGCATCGAAAGTAATATATGGGACTACTTACACAAGCATGACAAGTTTGGTGAAAACTTTCAGCTTTTATTTTTGTTATACCGTGATTTAACATGATATGGAGGGATATATATCTTACGCAAACTTCACCCATCAATCAGAAACGACGCGCGATTGCTCGAAATGAATTTAACATTTATTTTCATATTCTTTATCAGGCATAAACAAAACATATGGCTCCGTTTAGTCTCATTTCACAACGCCCCCTATCGTCAGAGCATGGTCAGATTCAGCAGCCTAACATGTTAGCCTATGGCCTTTTTTTTTTTTAAATCGTTAAAAATTCATTTTTTGTTTAAACGAAAAGCACATCCACCCCGACGTACGTTATCACTAGCTCTTTCATTGGAGCCCTCATGTCTCATTGACTTTTGAAAGTTCACCCACCGTAATTTTTCAAAATAGGTTGCAAGCTCGTCATTGCCTATAATACACATGTGAAACAAGTCTAACTTTGGACTCAGTTTACCAAGCGATTTGAAGATTATAGGTCGAGCACACGAAACATAAAAAGCGTGAATTATCATAGATCACTTCTGCCTATTTCGTTTTGTCCATTTCATCCAACCCCCCACCGTAATTTTTCCATTTAGTAAAAGCAAACATTTTGCCGAGTTTAGCAAAAACATGAATATTCATGAAGGGTCAGACAATACAGCCTTTTAGTTCGTAACGTATAGTGAATGGGAATGTGCGATGATCCGTGTAGGAGGTAGAGGTCAGTGGTTTGTGCTGGCAATGTTCACGCGAGCGAAAATGAGACAATCGGAGCAATATGATAGAATTGTCTTTTTACCCTACCCATTCCCCTCCCATCTTAACCACCAACACAAAAAACACCTAGACTTTGATGGCTCGTAGAACATTAAATTTACATATGAGATTACTTCTTCTTCAGGATAATTAGTTATTCTTATAATTATTTTACCTCATGATTTTAACATGATACCAAGGGACTAATAGAACTTGACTTATAACTATAACATCACTCAGAAACGATGTGGGATTACACGAAATGATATTTAGCCTTCATTTATTTGATGTTCTTTATCAGCCATAACGAAAAATGAAATCTACATATATTGTTGATAATTCCGTTATTTATCAACTATTATATACTGGGGGGGGGGGGGGGGGGGGGGGGGGGGGGGGGGTAAGCGGACACTTTTTTTTGGTCTCAAAATTTCAAAATCTGACATTTTTTTACGTATAGGGGGGGGGGTAAGGTCACCTTATTTAGGTTAGCCGTGGGTATAAATTAAAAAAGCCAAAGGGGGGGGGGGGGGTTTTAGGTTTTTTTAGGGGGTTTACATACATTAAAATACCAAAGGGGGGGTTTGAACCCCAAAACACCCCCCCCCCCCTGCGTACGCCCCTGATATGTATATACAATTTCATAACTGGAAGCTGAATTATATGTGCATATATAATTTTAATTGCAATTTCATCTTATTCAAGATCTAGTAGCGCTATCATCTTGATACATTCATCAGATATACTAAACTGATACGGTTGGTAATGTACGGGAGAAAAGGACATGCACTGTTCATTCGTTCATTAAAAACAATTTGATAAGTTCAACTCGTATTTTATATCTCTTTTATTGTCTTTAGGTGACAAAATACCACTTCAGCAGAAGCTTGAATTCCAGACGAATCCATCATGCCCGTTTCACTTAGTGAATGGCGAGTGAGGATAGGAAGATTCGTACATTCGGTCAGGGAGTACGTCATAAGAGAGCGAAAATTAAAGTTATTGAAGGAGAGAATCCGGCGACTCAAGTTATTGCAAAAGAGGCTCCTTGAAAAGAAGGAAAAATCAGAAGATGAATGCGAGTCCAGGCCGAACGACTTGAGTGTGAAAGTGGACGATGCCCTAAATGAATCTAATAGCATTTATAACGAAACCAAAAATGATACTCACAAAGAGGAGAGCAGTAGAAGTGAATCTACAATTGGAGATGAATATACATTCCCTTTCTTCTTCACCCTGTTGCTGTCGTTGTTCTCTTTGTTGTTATCATTGGTCTTCTTTTTCGTGTTTGATTTTTCAAATTTGCTAGCGAGTTACAATTCCTTTCTAAAGTGGAGTTACCGTATTGAATCTTCCTGGAGGAGTATATTTCTCATAATAATAATCGTGTGCAGCAGTTTGGCCTACTTTGTTTTGTCATACGTAATCAAAAACAATGCGAACTTGCAAGATAATCTGGTGCTAATTAGGGATGAGAAAGGAAAAGCTGAATCTAACACTAAAGTGAAAAACACTTCAACTGAATCTACCATCAAAGAAAACAACACTTTCACTGAATCTACCATCAAAGAGAACAACACTCCAACTGAATCTGCCCAAGAATGCAACAACATTCCAACGAATGTTACCATCAAAGAGATCAACACTCCCTCCATTACCAGAGATGGACCATTAGAAATTAAACAATCAAAGACAAATAAATCAAAGAGAAGAACCATCAAAGAAAAAAATACTACAACTGAATTTAACATTAAAGAGATCAGCACTCTACCTGAATCTTCAGTCAAAGACAACATCGCTCCCAAAGAATGTCATATCGACACTTCCTCTACCATGACAGACAAACCGTCAAAGAGAATAACATTAAAGAGAAAAACAACCAAAGAGAAAAAGACTGCAACTGAATCTACCCACAAATCGAACAGCAATATAACTGAAACTACCATCAAAGCGAACAACTCTCCAACTGAATCGAACATTAATAAAGATAACAACGCCCAAACTAGATCCACCATCAAAGAAAAAAACTCTCCAAATGGATCTGCCATCAAAGAAAGCAGCATTCCCTCTACAATGAAAGACAAATCATCAAAGAGAAAGATGTCAAGGATTAAAACCGTCAAAGAAAAAATTATTGCAACCGAATCTCACATCAAAGAGCACAACTCTACAATGGGATCTACCATCAACAACAAAAGCGTTTCAACTGAATCTGCGATCGAATACAACATCACATCAACTGAATCTACCATCCAAAACATGAACACTACAACTAAAGCTTCCATCAAGTACAAGAACTCTGTAACTGAATCAACTATAAAAGAGAGCAGCACCTTCTCTACCATCAAAGATGAATTATCAAAGAGAAAAATATCAAAGAGAAAGATCACTAAACGCAAAAGCACTGCAACTAAATCTAAAACCAAAGGGAACACCACTACAACTGAGTCTACCATACAAGAATACAACTCTTCAACTGAATCTACCATCAAAGGCAGCAACACCCCAGTCAAATCTGCTATCAAAGACAACAACTCTCCAACTGAATCTACCATCAAAAAGAACAACTATACAGCTAAATCTGTCAATAAAGGCAGCAACTCTACAACTGAATGTACCATAAAAAACAGCAACACTCCAACTCAATCTACCATTGAGGGAAACAACACTTCATCTGAATCTACCAACAAAGAACCCAACACTCCAACTGAATCTCCAATCAGAGGCAACAACTCAACAAATGAATCTACTATCATAGACAGCAACACTACAACTATATCTGCTATTAAAGAGGGTTACACTCCATCTAGAACTCCTGAAGAGAACAACAATCAAACCATGAAAGTGAACACTGCGCAGGCAGAATATATCATACGATCCGGAACCCAAAAGGTACGTATCTATTTTCACGCGGTAATATTTTTCAACTCGGATTTCATTCAACAGTCTTGAGATATAGGTGGGTGTACAAATAATTGTTTTTAAATAACAAAAACATATGTATCCCTTTAGGCCGAACCATATACATGTACATGTATGTAGGCAAATAAATAATATGTAGAAACGCATGTATACAATTCTCAACCTCTACACTTTATATTCTAGTACTGAGAAATTGTATCAGATCAAACAAACTGTCGTTTTCTACTTCAAAATATCTATGATATTTCGTTGTCTTTATCATATTTAGTTCCTTTAGTTATGATTGAGGTAATTATGTGCACACATTCGTTGTAGATTCATTCAGCCTTTCCACGAATTTGTATAGGTATTATCAGAGGGAAAACTCAGTGTTTCGAGTCAGATTCCAATCAGCCTGACAGGAACCACTGATGATCCTGTCGTGCAAGAGAGCACCTGCCTCCCTGAGATGATCCTGGTAAAGGCTGGAGATGTAGAGCAAAATCCAGGTCCATTCGATGGGTAAACATCTTGCTCCTATATATATATATATATTTTTTTTTTTTTTTTTTTTTTTATTATTATTATTTATTTATTTTGGGGGGGTTGGGGGGGGGGGTTGGGGTGGGGGGAAGCGCAGTACTTCAGTCGTCATACGATTTCTTATGTTTCCTTTTCTCTGGTGCGTATCAGGACAATTACCCCCTGGACAAGGACAATCACCCCTAGAAAATTACTCCTCCCGAAAAAATACCCCTCACGAACAATAACCCCCACCCGAAAAAATTACCCCCAAGGACAACCACTCCCGAGGACAAAAACTCCCGGAAAATAAAATTAACCCCTAGGACATTACCCCCCATGGACAATTACCCCCCCCCCCCCATGGACAATTACCCCCCCCCCCCCACCCTCCCGAAAATTACCCCCCCCCCCTCCCCCTGTTCATTAAAGTTGAATTCTACCCTGATAATAAGTTGGTTTTAATCAAAGTATTTTTTTTTCGGGGGGAATTGTCTTCGGGGTGGGGGTGGAATTGTCTTGGGGGGGGGGGGGTTGTCCAAGGGGGTAATTTTCCGGTGGGTAATTGTTCTCGGGGGTGGTTGTCATCGGAGGGGGGTCATTTTCGGGGGGTAATTGTCCCTCTGGCAATTGGCCGGGGGGATGATTGTCCAAGGGTTAATTGTCCTAGAATCCTCTTGGTAATTTACCACAAAACAAACGTCCATCCACTACGGAATCTCATTTTTTTTAAATCTCATCGAATGAAAATGTATTCTTTATATTCTACTAGATCCAATCAAAACATAACGTCAAACATATGATCATCGATGAAAAAGGAAAGGGAAAAGAGGTATCTTTCAATGCCTTCAGAAAATGTGTTAAAGCTCATCTCTTCTGTTAATAACATAATTGTAACCGCAAATAAACATGTACACTGTAAAAAAGAATTTGTTCATTCGTAATTTTTACGTATTTTTTCCATGTAGAATTTACTTGAAAACATTAGTTTTGCCACTTACGCACTAAATTTAAGTCTTGCTAACTCAAACTTTCAATTTAGTAGAACATACGTGGAATATTTAAGTAAAATCAAATACATAAGAACTTTAAAGGTAAAGACCAGTTATGGTCATGCGATTGCATTGTGAAAGAAACGTTGTGGAATCGATCAGAAAAAGGTTGATCATCTAGCATCTAGCATCTGCAAGGTTCTGAAATCATCAAAATGATAAGAAATTTGGCCCATTCTTCGTAAAGTTACAAGCACTATACACAGAAAGATGTATATGGGACTACCCTATATCTCTCACAGACCATGAGAGAAACAAATTTACCAAATATATGAATTAGTAGGCGGTTTCCCGGCAAATTTTTGTATCATCATGTATTAGTCAAAACATATTCTTTCACATGATTGGTAATGAGAGCTTCCATTTCATTTTTTGAAATTGGGGCGTTTCCAATACTGGTCTTTACCTTTAAGTAATTTCAGCTTGTATTAATTTAGTAATTTTAACTCAAAATCAGAAATTATACGTATTACTCAAACAATTTATGTTGATTATTCTTATCTTTTTAAAGTAAGGACCGATGCAGTGCGTAATAGAAATATTTACATAATTTATGAATATCCATTAAGACCAAATTAAACTCTTTTTTAAATAAAACAATTCTTTTTTGTGGTTGAATAAAAATTCAAGGACTTTAAAACATTTACTAATTCATTTAACATGGTTAAGCAAAGACAAGACAATTTTTAATTGTTACCCAGTTAAAAAAAAATCAAAACTTGATATTTCAGGAAATTGTCAACCAATTTTCCTTTTAAGATGCTAAGATCAAGTATATATAAAATTTGGAGCCTTTCAATCTGTGTCGAATTGAAGCGTATGTAATAGTTTGTTATGCAACAAGGGACTATTCATCCTACTTTCTCTGAATTTCACCCGATATCCGAGGATGATGTTCTCAATGTTATCAAGGAAAGCCCATCTAAATCATGTCGACTAGATCCTGCCCCCACCTGGCTCATCAAGAAATGTATTGATGTTCTTATCCCTTTCTTCACTAAACTTGTGAACCTTTCACTTTCTTCTGGGATTGTTCCTTCCTCATTCAAGACTTCACATGTCATCCCAATCTTGAAAAAACCTAAGTTAGATGTAGAAAACATGGCAAACTATCGGCCAATTGCCAACCTGATGTTCCTTTCAAAAGTCTTAGAACGGATTGTTGCCAATCAACTAAGGGCTTACCTTCAGGAGTTTCAGCTCTTTCCTCCTATGCAGTCGGCATATCGCGAGGGTCATTCCACAGAAACTGCTCTCCTTAGGGTTTACAATGACATCTTGCTAGCGTTAGATAAAGGACAGGAGGCCATTCTGGTGCTGCTTGATTATTCAGCAGCCTTTGATACCATCAACCATGACACGCTGATTCAACGCTTCAGTCACACATACGGCATAGAAGGTTCTGCTCTAAAGTGGCTCAAGTCATACCTCGAGAACCGGAAGCAACTTGTAATCGTAAACGGAGCCAAATCAGATGAATTCCCTCTAACTTGGGGGGTACCGCAGGGCTCAGTAATGGGACCTTTGGAATTTGTTCTATATACTGGTCCTGTGAGTGACGTCATCGCAGCCCACAAAGGTATAAGCCACATGTTGTATGCTGATGACACCCAGTTGTACATCGTTATGCAACGCAATGACCTGACTGATGGCATCTCGTCTTTGGAAGACTGCGTGACAGATGTGAAGTCTTGGGCTAGTAACAATAACATGATGCTCAATGCAAACAAGACTGAGCTCATCCACATTACATCACAATTTAGGAAACGGAACGAGTCTGTCAGCCTTCAGATAGACGGAGCTGTTATCACTGCGACCAATTCTGCAAGAGATCTGGGTGTTATCGTTGATAACTCGTTAGACCTAAGAGAGCACATCCGAAAGGTGTGTCGGGCAGCTAGCTTCGGTGTTTATAGGATTGGGAAAATCCGGAAATACCTTGATCGCAGCTCTACTGAACGACTAGTTAATGCATTGGTTACTTCCCATTTAGACTATTGTAATTCATTATTAATCAACTTACCTGCTTCTCATCTGGCCCCACTTCAACACATACAAAACACCGCTGCACGTCTCATCACTCGCACTAGAAAGCACGACCACATCACTCCAGTCATCCGCACCCTACATTGGCTCTTAATTCCCCAACGTATCCAATTCAAGATCCTTCTCCTCACGTTCAACATCATCCATCATCGTGCACCGTCATACCTGATTGAACTGATCTCACCCAAACAGACTACCGGCATGAACCTTCGATCATCATCCAGACCCCAGCTCGCACTTGGTCCTCGCACCCACAACCGCTATGGTGACAGGGTCTTCTCAGTTTGTGCCCCCACTCTTTGGAACACTCTCCCCGCCCATATCCAGGACTCACCCACCATTGACATTTTCAAAAAGAATCTAAAAACTCATCTTTTCCAAAAGCAACCCAAATAACTCTAAAATAAGTTCGAATAAATATTACCATGCCTTTATTATGTCTTTTTAAATTATCGCTATTACTGATAAAATGTTAATTTCCAAGGAATTTACATGTTTTGTTAATTTCTTTAGTAATGTTAATAATGGTTAATCTTCTTGGTAATTTAAGTAATGTTAAGTTGTTAAGTTATGTTAGAAATATTTGATATTCTTGTTAATTTAAGTAATGATAATTTGTTAAGTTATGTTAGTAATATTTTGTTTTCTTGGTAATTTGAGTAATGTTAATTCCATTAGTAATATTGATTTTTTTTTAAGTAATTTTGATTTGTGTACATGTACAGCGCTTTGAAACTTTTGTCACAAGCGCTATATAAATTTGTCATATTATTATTATTATTATTATTATGGTGGTAGATATATATATACGGTTAAATCTTAAATAAAAGTAGTGAATGATTAGTGTATGTTACTTGTTAGATTAGATGGGTACCAAATCGTGCAATAGGTAATCCTATCATAGCTTTTTTTTTAATTATCTAAAATGATTACAATACTTAAATTATTTACGTTAATGTAACTCGATTTAACTGAGTAAAAATTTATTCAGCAAAATAAGTAAATTCTACTTAAGATGCCGTAGGTAATATTTACTTAATAAAAATAAAGCAATTCTTTTCCTCAATTTTATTGAGTTATTTCGACTATTATTTTTTTACAGTGTAGATTGAAACTGCTCTATATAAATACATCCATATTATTATCACTATTGTCCTTAGAATACAGCCGGCAGACAATTATTTTGTCTTTCGACCATATGCCAAGTTGTCGTATAAATTCGAAAATTCGTTTAGAATGGAACACTGAAAGGTAGAAAATATCGGCAATAAAAGACCCAAATGGATCCTACTTGGACTGGTGGAAAAGATCATTCTAGGTTCCAGAATCTTTCCCACTTCTATATCAAAGTAACTATTGATAGCAGAGTGAAACCATTCGCTAACACTAGTTAGGCCTCTTAATACTCGAAGGTGAATATAACGCTTAGATATACTGCTTCATAATTATGTTCATTCTTCCATGCATGTATGTTTATTTTTCAAGAGTACTTAACGTTTCCGGGTTCTTGTTCAAACAGATCAGTAGTCACACAAGAACAAATTTAGGTTATCTTCCCAATTTTTTTTTATTTACACAGAGCAGCGAATATTCAAGAACAAGAACTAGTAAACCTGGCGTACGATGTACCTTCATCAAAATACACAGATTTGTGCATTGCACTTGGTGTACCATACAATCAGAGCCAAACCATTCTTGACAGACATCTCTTAGATTTCACAAGATCACTGAATGCGGTATTCTTTAAGTGGAAGGACAGACAGAGGGATGGCACAGATTGTCGTCAAGGTATAGCTACGGCGCTCCGTGGTGTTAACCTGGATGCATTCGGTGACAAAATGTCCAAAGGTAAACGTATTGTTGATTTGAAATGCACCTTAGAGACCTTTTCTTGGCATTTAATATTATTCTATGTCATAACATTATTTTGTGTTCATTATTCATGCATTACTGTCATTTCCTTGGGGGCTGGCCGACTATATTAACTGACAATTTTTTGAAAATAACTGTTATAAGACAAAAGGCAAAAATTAAACACAGCACGTGTCTTCTTCCACCAATCCTAAAGAAAAGTAAAAAATTCAAAAACATAATGAAGGCACAACTACCTATGAATTTCACTTCATTCTTTAAATTCCTATTTATCGTAATATATCGCATTTAACCGTGAATCATACGATTGACCAATTGGTGCTTTATAGAAAGGTCAAGGAAAAGTTGTTTTCACTATGTTGTTCGAAACTTGATATAGATTATGTGGCTTCATAATCGAGCTGTTGGTATGTAGGCCGAAACAAAATGATATATGATTAATGTTCATTGAATCTATGTTAACAAATTCTAAATAATTTCCCAGAAACAACAAGATTTAATATCTTACTTTTTATGCATTCCTAAAATTGCAAACTTCTTTTACTGATTTGGAACATAAAGAACATTTTAATCTTGGTAAAAAAAGAAAGAACTAAGATCATGTTTAAGGTAAAAAGGAAAGTGGGATAACATTATTTATATAACGGTAATACTTACGCTCGAAAATACCCAAAGTGTATGGCTTCCTGTTAATAGTGGTATATAGAAGCATTGCTGTATGTATTATGTTTACGGAACAATTCTGTATACCACTAGCCAAAATGATTTAGCATAAAATTTTGTTCCCATTACATATATTTTCCTAAAATATATGGGGGAAAAAGTATTCACTGAATTATTATGAAGATTGTTCATGGACGACATATAACAAATAGTTCATTTGAGAAGAAGAAAAAAAATCACACGACTGTACTAATTTTTCCAACAGGTGGCTATCTCCCGCAAAAAGCAGCTCCAACTGGTAAGCAAGTATTACTTTGTTAAGGTATTAAACATGTCAGTTTCAATATCTAACAACTCAAACGTGTTGGGTTACATTAATTTCATATGTTGACAGTGTCTTGGTAATTATAGTTTGCTCCACTATAATTCGTCTCAGATCGGATATAATTAAATTCATGGTGAAACTTTTTCGGTTTCTCAGAAAAAGACAGAGAACTCAACTGGTGTTTCATTTGTATTTAATAGCTGAATATACAGGTGTCTATTTATGTAATTGGGTATCACGTGAAATAGCGAAAAGGAGAGTTCACTCAGAAAATTGGCATTTCGAATTTTCCTTTTTTGTCCTACCACTAGAACACTAGATACTAAAACCATCATAAAATAGGATAAGTTTGCTAGAAATTTTTCAATAACATTTTGTTTTTATCTGTGTAAATTATCTACTCAGAATCAACAGTAGAAGACGAAACACAACCACTTACAAAAGAACAGGTAGATCAATGTGCTCAGGATTTCAAAACTTTCTACCGAACACGGTTATGCAAGATCAAGACGGATCCACTTGACTTCAAATCTATTTTAGAGTTCGAAAGGATTTACACGAATTTAGTTCTGCTAAAAAACGAAATGGGAACCACTACTGGGAAGACGCCCTTAGACTACGCCGAACTACTTACAACAAAAGTCAATGGAGTATTTCCAAAACGTCTCATGGTGGAAGGCGACGGAGGAGCAGGTAAAACAACATTCTGTTCCAAGATGGCATGGGACTGGGCGGAAAGAACTAAGGAGTTTGAAGAGTTCGACTGGGTTTTGGTTATTCCTTTTCGAAACACCAAGGAAGGTCAGACTGTAGGAGAAATAGCAAAGACATATCTGTCAGATAGCAACACGGTTCAACCGCGCCAGATCGATAAATACATACTGTCTGCCCCTACAAAAGTGTTTATCATATTTGACGGACTAGACGAGTATGAAGGGGATATCCTTAAAGAGAGTTCAGATATCGCCAAGATTCTTCGGTCAGAGAAGTTTGTGGAATGTAGAGTCATGGTGACAACACGCCCGTGGAGAGCATTTCCATTCAAATCCCATGAAATTATGATGCAAACATTTGCATTTCTAGCCATAGCTGGGTTTGATAAAGAAAACATTTCGATTTATATCACTAAATATTTTCAGGATGACCCGGCAGGATATGAATTGATAAAGTATATAGAAAGCAATGACCAGATTCAAGAAAATATGGCTCCATTCCCACTTTACATAGCGATGCTTTGTATCTTATGGCGGACTTCTGATGCCGACAAACGAAATATAATTCGGAAACTTAAAACGTTCTCCCAGCTGTTCACTGCGATAATAATTTCCCTCACAGACCACTACTTGACAAAACAGCACCAGAACCCTAACGATAAAATCCTTACAAAAAAGGAGATGAAAAATTACCTATCACAAATTGGAAAAATTTCTTACTCTGGAGTTTTAGAAAAAAGGCTGATGTATACCGAAAATGATTTCAGCGGATATAATGAAGCAATGGAGGCATGTTGTAGGATAGGAGTACTGAGTCGAGACATTCTTATAGTGCCAAGACAGGAAAGGCGTCTGAGTGAGACAAATCCTGTGACCTCGAGCGTATTCTTCCCTCATAAGTTGTTCCAGGAATACCTAGCCGGTATGTATCTTGCCTCTCTTTTTGAGTCTGATCATGAGCAGTATGAAAAGGCGATAAATGTGGTGATTCAGAGAGCAGAAGAGTTTCGTTACCTTCTATACTTTACTGTATCTCAAACGAAGAACGTCGCTACTGATGTCACTAGCAGGCTAATTAGAATTGGACATTATAGACGTATTCTAGTAGATGTCACCTTTGAAGCGTATGATGAAGACACAACAAAAGTGGTTGGACAGCACCTCTTTGCAGAACAAAAGTCACTAAAAATCGATGACATGATGTCAGCGCACACTGTGTCAGGATACCTTTTCATCATGGAAAAGTTAACAATGGTGAGATTTGAATAGTTGCGGCAAAAATGCCACCAGGCTGAAAGAGTAATGTAAAGTGTGGTCTTCCGCTCAATCGAGTCGGAATTTCGCCCATTCCCAGTTTTAAAACCTCCAGATTGCCATGAACAGGTTTATTTTAAAATATTTTGTCTATTTGAGGGTTCTAAATTTGAAATACGTAAGTTTCTATTCGATGATCCAACAGGGAATAGGAATGCTTTGTACGCACATTGTGCAATGAGGATCAGCGCACACGCGGGGATTCGATCTTTGCATGATATGACTGTAATGCATGCAGCTACGTGCTCCACAAACAGTCACTACGGGTCGTCACGTGAGCGGGCAGCGTCTTATTTTTTCCGTTGGGTAGCCTTTTGACAAGACCTCGTGACTCTGGCTATTTTCCACCCCAATCAGCGGCTGAGATGAATCTAGAGACCGTGGTGAACGCGCGATCGAATGGCGGTAGCCATGAGGCCTTTTGCAATCTATGTTTTACTGCTCTGCATGAATTATTCATTACTTTGGATTTATTGACCAATCAGAACGGCCATCTCCCAGTTGGCTTTGTTGTGATTCGTTCATTATCAAAACATGTAAGAAAATGTAAAAGACATAAATAAGTTTTGCTTATGAGATGAACATATTAATGATAGATACAATACATCACATTCAAATCTATTTTACATGCAGAATTACAATAAAATAGTAAGCAGTTGATGACTTATGCTAACAAACATAAGTGAGATAATTGGACTTTCCATGTACATAAAATGAACCAGTCCAACTCGTTTTCGTTCCATGTAGGTCTTAGCCCGTACGTTATTCTTAGTTCATAGTAGGTCCATGTTCGTACTACGTAGGGTTTACTGTGTGTGTGTGTGTGTATGTGTGATATGCTGACGTCGTGCAAGGATACGTTCGCTGATTGGACGCTACCATTTCGGTAGAGAATTCCAGTCGGAAACAAAGGTTAACATAAGAAATCCAACCTGGTTTACTAAAGGCTACTTGGATGCGCTACTCGCTCTGTCGTTCACTCGGGTTTTCGCGATTAGTCTCTTTTTAGTCGCTCGGCGTTTATCAGACATGTGGCCTTGTTTAAAGGCTACGGCAAGCCCAGATTGAGCTCTTAGCTCTTACCGAATCTCTGCATGGAGATTAGGCTTAATTTATAGTCCTTTGGAAAGTTGCTTCGGAATCACACGAGTGTAAATGCCTACATGCAATACTTGTCCGGGCTCTAATATCTGAGAGGAATTAAATTACATGATTATATTTTGACATGTTTGGCAAACGAACCAACCAGTTCAGAGATTTTGCAATGTATTTTGCGTTACTAATTATTTTTGATTTTGTGTATAAAATGTGTGTCATGACTTTGTTTGAGGGTCGTAGGCAAATTAACCGACACGGTTCAAATTGGTTTTAAAATCTCACTCAATCGAAAAGGATGTATTTGCCAGGTTGTGTATCTGGACACTTGATTTTAATTACCTAAGTAATACTCTGATTTTCAGACCCTTTTACCTAATGGTCGTACGTTTTGTGCTGCACAATGATTCAATCAATTTAATTTGTTGTATGTAATTACCAAAGAAAAAAGATGTCGGTCAGCCACTCAATAGTGTCTGATGACAGTGAAGTCTACAAGTACTGGATGCCAATTGTGTCGCTAATTAAGGTACACATTTGTTTTGTTTTGTGGATACCCCCCCCCCCTCCCCTGATAATAGGTACCCTTTTGATACCCCTTTGATAAAAAGCTTAATTTCAATTGCCCATTCATACCTTTGATCATTCCCGGATCATTTCTTTGATGAAAGGTCAATTTGTTACGGGTAAAATCTGCTAGTATAAATAATTCATGTATATATCATACAAAAACTATGAACAACAAATAATATAATAACTACTTAAAAAGAAAAGGCGAAAGTGGTCGGACAATACATATTTGCAAAACAAAAGTCACTACAAATCAACGACAATATGTCAGCGCACAGTGAGTTCGGATATTTCTTCATCGTGGATAAGATAAGAATGGTGAGATTTGAACAATTATTTCTCAAAAATGCCACATCTTTTACAAAAAGACATATTGTAACAAAATACAATAAAATATCATATTTTATTACATGTATCAATTATCCTTTTTCCGGGATTTATTTCCTTTGAAAGTCATTTTGCCATAAACATATTATTTTGGTTATATAAAGTGCGTCACAGAAAAAAACGAAACCGAGAATTATCGATGTTTTATCATAACTCAATCGCAATTATAATTAATAAATGACACATATTTGTAAACCTTAGATCCTCTTTCATTTGATGCAACTCATATAATGCATATTTCACGCATGAGTGATTAAAAACAATTTGAAGAGAGGAAAACCAAAAAGTGATTTTTGGGGCGGTATCTTAAATTTAAAGAAAAAAATACATTTCTAGAAAGTTCAATTTCTGCCCTTTCATATGATACCTCAATCAGCAAAAATGAGCTAGGAATAACATAGTTCTGTTTGTTTAAAGTAATGCTTGTTTTTCCATAATTTGATTAAACGAGTTCATTTTCACTGGCTGTCTGCCATAGCAACAAACAGAGTCGACAAAAGACTTAACTTCATTTCGTTGACGATGAGCCATGCACAAAGAAGACGAAAGACTTGATGCCTGGCTAATCGTCAACGAAAGTCTGAAATTGTATACGGCATTTTTATGGAAGAAATTAATGTATGAGGAAATCAATGGATATAATTCCTTCAGTCTTTACTTTAAAGACACTCAAATAAAATGATGATATTTTTTTTCTTTCGCAAATACAATTAGACATACAAAAGTTGTTTGACACATTTTATTTTATTCATAGGAAACTCTAATAGTAAGTGGAAGATCATGTGGTCCGACAGTTTCCCGTGACCTAGCAGATGTCATCTGCTCATCTACAGCATTAACAGCATTGGAACTCAGTGGCACAGCGCTCCATGACGACTGCTATGGCACCCTGGAGAGTAAAGTCAAAACGTCAAAGGTATGGAGAATCATCACAGAGAGTATGAATGAGGCGGACTGAGGATTATCTGAATGGGGGGGGGGGGGGGGGGGAGTTGTAGGACATCATTTCCCCCTTAAAAATATATACCAACGGCCCTCTCCAGACATTCTTACCATGTCTTAGTTGGTCATGCTTTACAACAACTATTATTGTCCGCATTTTGACAAATAAGGTGACTATAAAATAGTGCAGTAACTTTAGTTATTGATGTTGGACTCGCTCTGAAGCTTTCCGGGAAAATTCATTTTTGTTATACACAAAACGAAAAGTAAGAATAATGTGTTAATTCTCTAGTTATGGTGATATCCATTTAAAAGATTATCGTTTATTAGGTGGTCTGTCGATGACAGATCACCTATTGATTTCGTTAGAATTTTCTTTCATTTCTTTCTTTATTTCTTTATTCTTTATTTTTATTTCTTCCGTACACTTTTTTGTGTACACGTTTACTCGAAATCGAGACGGTCAATTTCCTTTGTATTTCTGTCAGTCATCAAGCCCTATGATTTTAAGTCAAATCAACTTTTTCAAGGTCACTAGGTCATTGTGACGTCATCCAGGCGCCATTTTGTAAAAATCAGGTCATTATCGTATCTCAATAATGAGTCATAAAAAATGAACCATATTTGGTATACATCAACTTCAGGTCAAAGGTCAACTAAAAATGTTAACGAATTTTGCGAGCGCACCTCGACGCGCACGTACGCGCGCATCAAAATTTTATAATGCTCCGATTCGTTTAAAATTAATTTTGCATACGTTTCAGGCCATTTTAAGCATTTTTAAAATTTGCGCGCGCGTAATTATGCGCGCGCGTTTCCGCGCGTATCCGCGCGTCCTGGCATTTTGCAACATAGAATCGCCAAATTTTTTCTGTTATCATATTTATTACATTTTTCCAAGCATTTTGATACCTTGTTTACCCTTTTCCGACCAGTAATAACGCAATTAGCGGCTGTCAAAGTTGAACGCACGCGCCGACCTGCGCTATCTGTATCCACCATACATAGGCAAAAACATGCCTATACAAAATTCATTTTAACTCTTCAGAATGGATAGATACCCCCCAATTTCTTTCATATTTAAATAGATTATGAGTTGGAGATATGATTTCATGTCTCATTTGACCCTCAATTAACTCATGACGTCATCATAATGGCCTCCGAACTCTAAATTTCAATTTGCATATTATGACGTCAGCAGATTTTTAGATAATTGATTGTATCTCTGTAAATATTGATTAATTTTCTTTCAAATTTTGATATGTTCTACCTGAGAATATTCTCTACAAATCCAGTCACCACGATATTTCATTTTGACAATGGTATCATGGCGTATTTTTGCGATTAAAGGAGGCATGTCAATTTTTCACATTTTGCGTGTATTCTCTATAGGACATGACTTTTTCTCAAAACTGGATTCTACATTCTCGTCTTTTGCGAGCAATATCTCCGTCTTTTTATCTTTGTTTACAATGAGCTTTGAGTATGTTGTAGCTGAGACAATAAGCTATCACAAGTTTGCCCTTTATTTTTCGATCAGATGCCGGGATCATGCTCATATTTCACTTACAAAGTGGGATTTGAGAATTCGATTTTCCGTTTACGTGTAATCTCTATGGGAAATGTTTTGGTATATCGATAACGCACTTGACTTCCGACCTCGAGGTCCCTGGTTCGAGTCCGGGCGTCTCCAACAATTTGTTCTCTTCACTTTATTTTCTTTTTGACCTTTCACTGTACCATCTCCTTTGAATATTAAAACACGTACAATCGCAAAAAATGTAATAAACAACCATATTTACTTTATTATTACCCTATTATCACTTGATCCATTACTTTTTGCGTGCAATCCTTATGGGAGATGACTTTTTCTCAAATCTGGATTCTACATTCTTGTCTTTTGCGAGCAATATCGCCGTTATTTCGGTTTGATATTTGTTGATTTTTGAGTATGTTGTAGCTGTGACTATATACTATCTAAATGTTCTCTCATTTTTGTCAGTCTGATGTCATCATGGTCTGTTGATGATAATCATCAACATCATCATGATCATCATCATCATCATCATCGTCATCACCATTACTATCAAGATCATCATCATCAAGATCATCATCATCATGATCATCATCATGATCATCATTGTTTACATGTCTATATAACTTCTCCCTTTCTCAATATAGTAAATATTATAATCTATCATAAGACTTGAAGACAGACCACCTTAATCGTCCTCGTGACGATTTAAATTCTAGTTGTAATACTAATTGGTTTTGCATTTCAATTGGAATTCCTACACAGACTTCTATTCGGTATGTGTGTGTAATTATGAGAATTATTAAAGAAAAAAAATTGTTTAACATATGTTTCTCACCATAATAGGTTGAACGACTATCACTTAAATCCATGGCAATAGCCAATGAACAGGCATCGCGTAATCTGGCTAGATTCGTTAATAACCTCCCTAGACTGATGGATTTGACGCTACAAGACAATCGCTTTGACGAACGGTTTTACACCGAGCTAGCCTCTGCAGCACGCTCAGTGGAGGTAAGCAATTTTATTTAAAAGAGAACTCGCATAATTCGGTCGATATTATCTATAGAAAGAATACCAAATGTCACAAATGAAAAGATTCACTAGTTCTTTGTGGCCACTGGCGTACTGATTGGGCGGGGGGGGGGGGGGGGGGTAAGTTTTCTAAGTAAAAACTCCAATGATACAGACACCATGTACAAGATTTCCTATCAAGACGATGTGAACTCTTTTCATTCCCCTTCCAGGCCCTTTCTACAGTGCGTCCCCAAAAACACTATACACTTTTGAATTGGCTGCCGAATAAACAAAATATATGATTCTGGGGGAACAGTTTTATATGACTGGAAGCTCATACACCCAACTTTCATATGACACCCAAAAGTCTGAAAACAATTCATGCTTAGGTGGGCACTGCTCACTTTTGTAAAGGGTATGAAAATTAGGTTGCGCGGGAATTAGCCTTCCAATTTGTGAGAGTTAAATCCTTTGGAGCTTACACAATTGTGGGTGATATGATACATTCATGATTTGCTGAGTGAATTTCATGGTTTATTAAACCAAACTTTTATTTTTTATTGTAGCATTGTAACTTTCCCTGGTAGACTCAGTGGCGTGTTCATGGGAGTCAGGATGGGGTGATGGTACATGTTGTAATTTCCATGTTACAAACTGTTATTTTTTACATCTGTGACTTTGAATAAAAACCTTCACCCCACATATCAGTTACCATTTACCTGAAGAATAAGTAGCCGACATCTTGGACATTCCTTTTTTCAACAAATTGTATTTGAATATTCAATTTACATAATCCCTACCTGCAGGCGCGTACGCAGAGGGGGGTGGGGGTTGGGGTTGAACCCTCCCCCCTTCATTTTGTTTAATGTGTGTGTTTTGGAGGAACCCCCCCCCCTGTTTCTTTTCTTTTTTTAAGAAAAAAGAAAAAAGATAACAAAATTATGCTAATAGGTGACCTAAAAAGGTGACCTAAAAAGGTGACCTTACCCCCTGCAGATCTCATTTTGGGAGGAAATAGGGGACATACACTGTCGCTCATATAGTTGGAATATTTTTGTTTTACCCCAATTTATGGAATTATTTTTAAAATAATTTATTCCTAATAGATCTAGATAATAGTATACATTCTCAGATTTTATTGAATAATAATTTGCCAATGTGTGTTTTGCGTGACTGCTAAAGCATGTGTATGCTACTATGCTTTTCAACTAGGGGACCTACGCCCTTAAGTCATAAATGACAGTAAGGAGTATTAATGCCTCACAAAAGGGCACTAATATAGCACATCGACACGGTTTTGATCCTGGGGGCTCACAGTAACGAGGTCATTGCTTTGTCACTGAACCATGACTTTACGCAGCGGGGGCTAGGGTAGGGGGCAGTTTCCATTAATAAAAAAAAATGCAATAAATTTTCAATAATTTATTGCATTTTACCCCGGTCCCCAACATAACAAAATCCTCTGTACGGCCATGCATTATGGTTCAAGGCATGGGCACACAGAGAATTGTCTTTAAAATGACGTTGGAATTTAACCCTTTCATTTGTTTGGCCCGCAAATGGGACATAGTACCTTTAAAGGCGAGAAAGACAAAAATTGTTTTGTTAATGTTCCGTACTACATGTATGGATCGCCCAATATCATATATCATTTTAGATCTTTTGTTTAATGTCATATCATATCATATCATAATATATTATATTATATTATACTACATTACAGTGCATTTAATTATTATTTTATTCATTTATTTATAAATTTATTTACAGTGCTATTATAAGCAGGGTTGCCTCCTTAGTTCACAAACTGCTATCCGTGAGGATCTTACATAATAACAAAAAAACAATGCATATATAATATTTAAACACATTATATAAATAACACAATAAACACAAATTAAGAGTACAAAGATAAAATAACATAAGAAACGAGTATTATGAACCTTGAGTTATATTACATATAATCACACTTAATCCATTCAAATTTAGGAAAATGCTCACAAAACTGGAGAAAAAAAAAGGCAAATAAGGAAAGGATCATATTAAGTAGCGATACATTGTATTAATTAAAAATATCATCGTCCATCTAATAGCACATCTAGGAAATTGAAGAGACTGATGATGATTCTCATACCTTTATGAATTGTGTGAAATTTTCTTTGATTCTGTTTGGATCTTTGTAATTCCAATGCTTATTTTTCTTAATCTTAAAGATTATCTTATAATATTTTATGCTTGTTTTATCCTATTTTCACATTTATATATATAGGTTAGAGCGTCAGGGCATTCGGTACGTAGACTTCATCTAGATCATCTGTGCCACAACGACATACTGCAGCATGGCTTTACTGTGGAAATGTTATTTCCGAACTTGGAGCACCTGTATTTCACTTCTTCCCAAACAGTGACCCCTGACATCGTAGGATCCTTTGGTCATTGTGGGCTTAAAGAGTTGTCATTCGCCA